AAGCAAACATGGTACGACTGGCGCCGTTCGTCTTAGGGGTGGGGCATTTCTGCAACTGCGCCAGGTCCTGTTCCTAGCTCATGTCAACTAGCACGTTTCGCCCAAATGAGACCTGTGAACCCCCGTGAAGCTGCCTAGCGATCAAGTGGGCTACTTCAGCTACACATAATTACAGCTTTGTACAATGTTGCTATACAAGTTTTGCTGACAACCATCTAGCCCTCCCCCTGAACGCGTTATGAATCTGAATTGTGGTCGACCTTCCTCTCAGAATGACTCGAATGCGTTCCCTTTAAGGAGTCATAATCACACCGTATCTTCGTTACACTGGGGTGGTAAAAGATGAAGAAAATTAAGGCGAGTATGAAAGGCTCTTTAGTGTCTATCAGAAAAAAGCGACTTCAGACATTTCAAATTTTTTCAAGACCAATTTAGCAAAAAGGATCTCCCATTCAATACAGATTCATACCTAATCCCTGTAAAAGCGATGCGATACGTTACGCCGGACAAGCTATTACTTGCCTCAAAATAAAAAGTTTACTTTTGAAGAATAATAGACAATTTTATTTGGCTTACAATGATCAAGATGAATTTTCGAGTTGGTGTTGTAATCTTTCAAGAAACTGGAAAGTAACAACTGTCGCTGCGCACATGTGCATGGTTCAAGGACCAAATCCCTCATCAGACCCTGCCCACGCCTATCAGGCCTTTCCATTCGTTTTGAATCAGAGGTATGGTGCCCGTGAACTTCCGCTATAGCACTTGTCCGTTCTGGTCTGCCAGAAAGCGAATAAGTCCCTCCAATAAGCCCATACACTTCACGCGGAAGTGGAATGCGTGCGTATCTGTGCAGCGAGGTCATTCTGAACCCAAACAAATGACTCGTCTTGATCTGTCAATGAGCTGCAACAAGAGTGCAAAATCGTTGCAGTAATAAAGTTCAAAGTAAGGAGTGGAACACCCTCAACTTTAATGAGCACTCTTTCAGCCGCGAATTGGCATTCTATTCGGAATCGCTGTGGCATTTTGAATGGGTCTAGAGTACCCAATGGTGAGAGCTACCAAATGCATAAGCCACTGCCTCTATACTTCCGGACAAATTTAGCATCAGTGAACTCGGTGGGCGGAAGTCACTACCAAATTTGGTCCTGAGACCGCGCACATGGTTGGCAGCATCACATGTCACAACATTTCCTCCGCCCTGCTCCTATTAATATAGAATCGGTTGTCTCTGCTCTGCACTATTCGAGGGTTGATCCTCGAGTGCCAAAGAACCTCGCTTGACGTCATAGTCTCCCGAAATTTGCCCCATGGAGCGTTGGTGGTATCTATGAATAATGTTTGCCAATGTACCACAAGTGAAGTGAAAAGGTCAATCAGTCAACGGCGCCCTTTCGAATACCAGTGAGCAATCAGCGATGATGAAGATGCATCAGCTGACAACGTTTCTCTTTTCAAATGGCTAAAATTGGTTCGCCAATCAAAAACTTTACGAAGCCTACAAAACATTTGACACGGTCACTGCAAAGATTGTTTTAATTAGGAGGGCTATATCTTACATTGGGCTCGAGAACTACACAAAAGCTCTAGAGGATGTTGGAGGATTAAGTCTTCGCCGTGCGTCAGCAATTTTTGGGATGCAACACGCATTCTACCTAGCATTCAGAATTGTAGTGGCTTATTGAATGCGATGTGGCCTATGCAATGACTTGCGGGGTCAGTCGATGTACATGTGGGTATCCTAACCCTCCCAAACAAATCTGGTACCAATTTAACGTCCCCGAAGTGTAGGAGGTTTGGTTGTCCTGGGCGGGAGCCGATCCAAGAATTGACTTCCAGACCATGCATGCGGTAGGCATGCCAATTGCAACTACACCTCGTCTGCCTCACAAATAAGCTTCACTATTATAGAATATTCAAGATATACACTATTATAGAATATTCAAGATATACGAGTACAGAACGTTGCGCATCATCGGTATCGGAGGGTGCTGTTTAAAAGAATCTCGGAGCTGCCCTCAAGCGAAATGATCCTCTCTCTTGGTGTGCTAGTCTAGCGATGTCCTACATCTCTGCCCTTACTTTTGCCAAGGCTTCCAGTGTAACCCTATCTCTGCTTAAATGCGATGGAGGGGTTTTGTCCAGAGTAACAGCCAGCGTGCTGCGTGGAATGGCAGTAATCAGCAATTGACCCTGCCTCACTCAATTTCTTCCTCAGCCACTGCAACCTGTTTGCGTCTCCTCCGACAGTGAGCCACCTCTTGATTTACCTTCTGAGGAGACGACCCTACTGACTATACTTCATCACTCGTCGCTCGAGAACCGCTAGACGGTAGATCCTAAAGGTATGATAACCCCTGACCTACCTGAAGCAAAAAAGGTGCCACCACACTAAGTCGAGTCTTCCAGGCGGACACACATAAAATAACTCGGCATTCATAGAACACATAAAATGCTCATCGGAAATGGGTTTTGGGACTTAATACGGTGAAGATTGGCTTTCAGTCCCCAAATAAGAAAAGGAATAAATAGATGAGTAATAGAAAATTAATAAATAATTAATAAATAAATAAATTAAAAATAATAAAATTAATTAATAGCTATAGCAAAAAAAAAGAGAAAAAAGAAAAGCAAAAAACGAAAAAGGATAATTGTTGCGATTCAATGAACTCACAGGCCAGCGACTTGCAAAGGTGTCCATACTAGAGTTCGCTGCCTTTGATGTCGGCTCATTTAGCCGACTTCTTACCACAGCATAGCCTTCACTGATTTTCTTCTTTAGTTCATCTTAAATCCCAGATTTTTGCAGACATTTTACGGTTATGTTGGAATTATGCATTTCAAAAACCAGGTCAAGTTCTATGGAGGAGCATCCTATCAAAACTTGGGGCTGTGCGCGTCAGGGTGAGGGAGAGTGGGGTTGCACGTTTGCGAGTTCATTGTCTAGAAATGCCAACTAATAGCGATTTGAGATTTGCAGACTCTTGTGAAGCTGCTAAATGGAACAGGCGAGCCACTTTGGTTACAGAAGTTTCACAAAGTGGCCTGTACGAGCTTCGCTGTTTATCACTGAAAGCCCCACCAAGCTGAACTAGGCAGAGAGCTTTGTGGAAGTTTGCTGTTAGGGAAACAGCCGATTTCAGTATTAAGTGGGCAATTGAGTATTGATCTATTTTGAAGCATGCTTTTCTTCTCTGTATTTTCGTGGAGTTGAATAATGCGGCGGGCCGAATTAAACCACCCTTCCTCGAATCCCACACTCTAGAGTGCCCTACTATGCAAAAAAACTGCAATTTGGGGCAGGACCTATGGGGTAGCGGGTGTTGTTTCGGAGATATGTTCGATATAATGTAAAATGAGGAAGTTAGAACCAGAGTATAGAAAAACGCTTATACAATTACACCACACAGATACCAATTACATACCTTCGCAGCAAACCCGATTTTCTCGTTGCCTGTCGTCTGGATTTTATTTTAGCTCTTGCCCATTGAACGACGTCATCGACGGTATTCACATCGCATATGGAACGTTTCCAGACCACCGGGGATATGCGACCGTAGATGGCTGTGATCTACGCTGAAAACCGCACTCGTCACTTATTCACAGAGTCAACGACAATTAGTTTCAATTTCCTTCACTTGGTCGCAAACACCGACATGCAAAAAACTGATTAATTAAAAGCATGGTGAAAGTGATCAGAGCAAAGTGAGCGTGCTGTAAGGACGAGCGGAAATTGAAGTCTTCAAAATGTTTACGTTAGGTTAAACTAGTAGTTTTTCGAAAGGGCTGAGCTCCAAAGACACGGATTTACAAGAAGGGAATGACATCGCTGTGGGTTCTTTTAAAAGGTGAGGACTTCGAAGACGAGTGGGTTGAAATTTACCTTAGTTGAATGAAGACTTCAGCTCCACTGGAAAGAGCCGGTTGAAGCTTACTTCTTGTGTGAATGTCTTGAAAGCGATGTTCCCGGCACGGAGGGATTTCGTACCCATGAATGAAGTCAATCACGAAGTTGGTAGGCAGGGCAAACATACAGTTTGTAAAAAACGAAGAAGGCGCGTTTTACAAGATGGGGGTCTAGTGGACGAAATGCGCCTTTTAAAAAAGCTCCCAAAAGACGATTGCTGCTATAGTATCGTTCACTGCGGATGCTTGGGCAGGGTTTGGCCCGGCGCCAATCTGGTCTCCACCAATTGTTGAAGAGAGCAAGCGACAGCAACTGATGGAAAGCAGGGTGGCGCCAAACCAGCCCCCTGACACGCCTCAGATAGATCAGCCCAGATTTATATTTAGCAAACTGGATTGATCGCTATTAAGCCCGAA